AATCTTATTGAGGTCTCCTGTTCGTTGGCATGTACTCCGCTCGGCCCTGCCAACTGGATTGGTGCTGCTTGAGAGATTTCTCCTGAAAAGGTTACACATAATTGTTTTATACGTTATTGGGTTAAATGTATTTAATTGATTTAAAGGATTCCATTAATCGTGTGACTTTGAATAGGACTGAATTGTTACTTAAATAAAACACAAATAGTGTGTTTGATCATTGTACTGGAATGTCCCTTCACAGCCCACGTACCATGTATTATCATTCTCCAACCTCACTCAGAGCAAGCATTAGTGTGATTTAAAAAATAGAAAGTAGGTCAATGGGAGCATTATGAAAAGGCAAAATGATAACGGAGACATGTCCTCTTCTTTTTCTGTCACTTAGACCTCTGCCTCTCACCGCATTACTCCAAACCATCTCAAATGACTCCCAGTTAAGAAGAGAAGCAGTACTCTTTTAACCCAATAAAGGCAGACATCTTGCTGACTCATGGCAATAGCCCTCTTAGGGCTGATGCCAAGGATATTATGGAAATGACTCATTAAAGGCCAAGGTTTTTTAGCTAGTTTGATCCAGCTTTCAGGGCCGCCTGACAGTGGAACATTTGATCTCAATTGCAAAGTGGCTCATTTCCCTCAGACATCACCGCTGCAGTCTGCTACGAGAGCCGAGCTTGGCCTTTCGGCGATGCCGGCCACGGGGCGATCATGTACTCCTGTTTCCAGCACCAGTGTTTACAAATGGAAAATATGTGTTGTTTCAGGAGGGAAATGAGCACCATTTTGGACAGCCGATGGAAGCAGAAGATTACCTCGGAGCCCAATAGAAATGAATGAGGTATAGATTGATGGTGGCCACGGCTCATTAAGAAGGAATGTGAGTGTGTGTGTTTAATTGATGCACTAATTCTCAGCCACTCAGGAAATGGCCCTTGGGTGGGTCTTCCAAATGGCACACAAATATTTACTGTGGACACAAACATTTTTCAGAAGCACGTCCGTGCAAAGCCTCTGCATGTAAGGTAAAAAGGGGGACAGGATGTCCGGGTCTACGATAAAGTGCAATGATGTCATCGTTGCTCTTGCTACTTTGGCCGGGTCCTCCGCCAGTCAGCTGGGCTCTGAACCGCTTAGATGACTCATCAGCATGCACGAATTCTCTCTCGACCCCAAGAACTCTTTGTACAGATGAGCACAGATGAAGTTAAAATCCGCCCCCGCGCTCCTCATCCAAGGCCAGCTGCAGGCCGAGAACCCTCGCACTCTGGTCCCATTTTGTCCAAGTCTGAAATCTTAGCACTCAGTCATCACACACTGTTCCTCACACGCAAGTGCTCTGATTGGGAGGATTTTTGCCTGTGGTACTTAACACAAGAGTTCTGACTTCTCCGTGTATCACATTTCCTGTATGTGGGGTACATCCAAAGGCTTTTCTCTCTGTGTGTGTGTGTGTGTGTGTGTGTGTGTGTGTGTGTGTGTGTGTGT